CGGATGTAGATCTCGGCTACTTATTTATAGACGCAGTATGACAAATTTTTTTTTTTTTTATTTTTTTTTTTTTTTAGTGAAGCCTGTGTCGCACAACGATTCGATTACTGTACGTAATCAATTTCCTTGACAATATTAACGGATAGGCTTTGTTCACTCTTTAATCTCGAAGGTGTGTCGACTTTTTTTTTTTTCATTTTCAAAAGGTCGCTGATCAAGTGAGATTGCCGACCATATACTTCTTTTCATTTGCTTGCTGAATTTGCGAATCGTTTGATGTCCTTATTTTCTCGGTAGACTTTATCAAAAAAAAAAAAAATAATAATTTTTTTTTCTTTTAAATCAGAAGGCAAAAGATAAATTCATAAGGAAAATGGAAATTTCAAAATTTGCATCTAGATTTTGCCGAGGCAAATTAGTTTACCAAAACTTGGTCCATAAAGTAAATACATCCCCACATAGGACATTGTCAATTTCTTTTGTAAGTTGGTCTATGCGAAATGGACACCCACGAACCATCTGAAAAAAAAAACATACAAATTTTTTGCCATATTTCTTTAAAAACAAGATTTGGATGATTTGTTTGCATACTATTTAAGTAGTAATTTATACAGCAATGTTTAGTGACTTTAATTTTAAATGTACCATTGTTTTCAATTCCATTTCGTGATAGACACAAGTTTTCTTTGAAAGTTTAACTTTCGCGATCATGTTTTGGTATTGTTTTGCATACCCGACCGTTCCTTGATTTATCATTTAAATAATTATCTTTAATAATAATAAAAAAAAAAAAGTCATTAAACTTATGACACATCCAACCATCTCGGCATCCGCTGTTTCTACCCATAGCTCCTTAAGATGTACTGTAAGTGCAAATACTGCTCTATACCATTAACGAATACCCGAACTATTCAACATAATCCTAAACTTCAATTTACACAGGTACTGTCGTTATAGGTGACACTCGTATTATACATAAAACATTTTGTTAAATTTCCATGATATTTTCAAAAAAGTATCAGTTAGTAAACAACATACAATTTCTCTTTGAAACTTTTGTCGTGGTTTTACAAAACTATTCCTCAAATGCACAAAAAAAGGATGTTCCTTCTCGAGCTATGATAACGCTACGTCTATACCCAATACGTTTTTCCACTTTATCACAAAAGTTATCATGGTCATGTTTCTTTTTGAAATCATTAGAGCATTCTAGGTACGTATTCAATACCTTTTTGTCCATGTGTAATCATCTTTCACGTAACTCCTAGTCATGCTCTGAGATTCTTTTGCCTTTAACAGTATCAGATAATTGCTTGCGTATTACATTATTACAGTATATTTAAAATTATAATACGCATTTTAATTCAAATAATATTATCATGGGATCAAAATGGCATTTATGCAGTACAGTATTAAATACTTCTCAATTTTAGATTGAATCGTGAACAAGGCATCACTCGTATTCCACAGTTCAAACCAGACCTTTATCCAATCAATAAAGGCTCACCTGAATTTACGCTCTATGTTGATAATATTCTTAAAATATGAGACTAGTTGCTGACAGTAACGAAGCTATGCGTTGCAGTTACATTTCTACTAATCTATCTTGCATACGACGGCAAACCTTCTTGACGGTTTGGAAATCAAGCCTCGAATGAAGAATATAATCGGAGTAGAAAATATTGACCGTGTCGACTACACCGTCATGAATATCCTGGACAATTTGCTCGAATAAATAATTTGCATTATCGAGTGTTAACAAAATCAATGCGATTTAAATCTTTTTTTTTTTTTATCTTCCACGATGGTTTGTCGGCAATACCGACTTTTCTTCCTTCCCGATGAACTTGGATATGCACATGAAAAAATGAAAGACTGATGATGCGTCTACCCTAATCACGAATATGTTCGTGATATATGGTAGTCAGTGCTAGAACTGGTTGACATTTCGTTCTTCATATTCCTGAGGATATCTATAGACTGTGTATCGAATACGTATCATTGACGGAAGGCGCTCTTAAGGATTCAACCGAGTTGCATAGGAATGTGAAGAGAGTTTTAGAAGGGTAGAGTATAAGGTAGTGAAGAAAGCGAAACCAGAAACGCCTTGCATACCAGATAACCAAAAAAAAAAAAAAAAAATTATTATAAAAATATAATCATAAGTGCAAGAAATAACAAAAGTTCTTTAAAAGTAAAGGTAATTCGACCTGTTCATTATTAAAATTTTTACAATACAGTCAAACACGAAACGGTTTTTTGAATAATAATCCAGATAAGAATAGGGACTATGAAAAAATGACCACCTTGAAGTATGAGCCATTGAGATTGAACAATTTCATGCGCCCAAGGACTAGATTACGTTCCGATCCCGAGACAATAACGTGACGAGTCGAAAACCCCGAGTAACTGACCTTGGCCAGTGATAGTGAACTACGTCTTCCCTTGGGTGCACTTACGTGTTATCGCCATAATGTTTAGTCCTTTATTAACACTGTAGTTTCGAAATTAAATCATTTTATGCAGTGACCATTCTTTCCCTAGCAGAGTGAGAAAACTTCTTTGGCTGTCATCTAAGCGTGTCTAAGCGTGCATAAGTTAAATCCTATTGTTACATAGAATATTGATGTTGAATGTGCATCAAAAATCCAAAATTCAAAAAAATATTAGGCGATTCATGTTCAGAAATGCTACGCGCGGCTCATACGTATAAAGAATTGTCGGAAATTTTATTTACATTACAGTTAACATCGTATTTATTTCAATAAACATAAAAGAATTTACATTATATCTTTCTTTTCTTAATTCGAACTTTTAGCTCGTCACAAGTCCTCACTACGGTTGTGTGAAATTTTATTGGAGCTTTCATATCCGCCAGTTCGACATCATACTTTCTGTATAATAAGGCTAGAGTAACCTTTAACTCCATCATTCCCAAATTTCTCCCAGGACCTATATAAGATATTAATTTACTTTTTATGTTTTGGATAAACGTTTTACTCAAAATGCAAAAGAAATACGACTTACACTTTTTTAGCCCACCTCCAAAAGTGTATAGGGGATTTTTGCTTTCGGGGTTGGTCTTATCCATGAACCTTTCTGGATTAAATTCTTCTGGGTTTTCCCACAAAGACTTGTGTTTGTGAATGCCTTGAAAATTAATGTAGAATTGTGTGTTGGCAGGAAATGTCAAGCCTCCAATCTCGTCCGGATTGGCATTGTTTTTGAATAATATGGGGAGGACAGAAAATATCCGTGAACCTAAAATAACATATCTCATGAATACAGTACCGCATGCATAATTAATGTGACTTTTATAAGCATCTCGAATATGTAATTACATTCGCTGATTACTGCCTCGCAATATTCAAGTTTCCCTATGTCATCATACGTAATTTTATAGTTAGGATCTTTCCCCAAGACTCTGTCAAACTCTTCCATCAGTCGTCCTTTGACATTAGGATAGTGTGATAGGTAATGAATTATGAAACAGATTGAATTCGATGACTAGGTTACATAAATAGTTTCGGGGAAAGGTTAGTTATTAGATGATAATCCATAAGACAGAGGTGACATTATAAAGGATAAATTACTTACCGTATCGATTCCACCAGTTATGGTCTCTATAAAGTTCCCACAAATTTCTTCATCAGACATTGGCTTATCATGTAAATTATCGGCAATTTTTTCGGTAATGTCACGCGGTGTATTTATTGTTATAAACATTGTTAAAATATCATAAGTCAGCTGTTGGTCTTCAGGTGTCCTTTCAATCTCTTCTCGTCTCTCCTTGATTATGTTAAGGGTGCTATTCCTAAACCAATTTAGCTGGTTCTTTAATCTTTGAGTATAACTCTTAATTCCGGGAAAGTTTCTAACTATCTTTGGAAATAATAGAAAATATATAAGGCACATGGCAAAACCATCAACAGCCTCTAGAAAAGTATCGCTTTCTTTCAAAATACTTTCAGATGTACACTCATTCCTTTTACCGGACAGACTTCCATAATAGCTTGCTAATGAACGTGCTTGCTTATTAGCTGCTATAAGAAATAGGGTGTCCGTAAAGTATCGTTTCATCCAATGGGAGAGGTCTAGCACAGTGTCTTCTCCAAGATTTTCCCAATAGTTTTCCATCTCTTTAAATTCCTCCTGAATGATGCTGAGTGTTTGAATCAAAAACAACGGTTTCGCTATCGTTCTTGCATAGAACCTTCGATGATATTCCCAGTTTTTATAATTTAGGTTGTAAACGACTCCCGAATCCAATAATCCAATTTCTTCAAGGCCATCATTATCTGCACTCACTAGGTTATGGAAGTTACCATTAATGGTTGGTTTCATTATTTTTTGGATTAAGTCTTCACTGCAAAGCCAAATCAATCGTCGAGAGCCAACGTAAACTTCATAGAAGTCGCCATATTTCTCTTGAAGTTTGCTTGGCCACACAGCAGTATCAGAACAAATCTGAAAAAGATTGCCAATTAAGGGAAGAGGGATTGGTCCGGGTAGAGGATTTTCACGAGTGAAGTATTTGTAGTAGTAATGGGAAACATAAATAATGAGACACACGAATAAGATGGATAGGATCTCGGTAAAACTGGTTGAAATCATTTTTGATCTCGTTTAAAATTTAAATTTAAATTTAAGGAATAATACCCAGGTATTTATATATATACTGTATATATCGGATTGGACATTATTAAATAGGAACTTTCGTGCATTTGAATAAATCTACTAATTCAGTCAAATTATTATCGATGCGTTGCGAGTGCTATTTTAATGATTGTCATACATTTAGGAATGATTTCCATAAATATCACATCATTTCAGATACTCCCTTGCCGTATACGTACAGTCAATTCTAGATAAGAAACTGTGTACAAATATTCTATATTAGTTTATGATTTATGCATTACTGTCATCAAAATTTCCGGGTCCTGGTTTGTTCGATAAAGGAAAATTTGATATACGATGAGAATACGCGAAAGATTTTTTTTTTTTTTTTTGAAAGGGCAATAATTTATTATTAAAGTTTATAATTTATGTTCTTACAAAATTTTTCAATTTTCAATCCTAATTTTAAAATATATTTCATTTTTGGAATCATTCTTTAAATAGAAAATTATAATTAATTGATCTCGTTTAATATTTTTTGAATTACTAATAATTTTATTTTGATAAATATATTAAATTTTATAAATATTAATATTTAAAAATACATATATTTATCAAAATAAAATTATTAGTAAACAATAGTTTAATTTTAAATTTATTATCACCTATTCATGATAATAACTTCTTGCATAACCATTTATTTTATTATGCAAGTTAACTTTAAGTAATTAAACCCTTGCAATAAATATTTGTCCATGATAAAATTTTTATTAAAACAGTAAAATGATCTATAATTGATTTAGAAATGGTTATATTAAAATCACTGTACAACAAAATATTTGATTATACTATTTTTATTCACATCAAAAAAGTATTTATACTTATATACAGTATATAATAATTTGAAATACAAATAAATTAAATAAAAATTTATAAAATTTAATTTTTTAAATTATACTAGTTATGATATCACTAAAGCCAATTATTAATTAACTTATTTGGTTTAGTTTGCTAAGTGCAACTTTGAAAGTGATTTGTTATTCCATTTACAATTTGGATTAATACTCTTTTACTACAAATACTATTATTTACAGTTCACTACTATAGATTACTAACTAAAATATTAACTGAGCTTAAAACCCAACTATTTTATACTATTTTTAAATTCGATATTATTATTTTATAAGGTATTATCTATATATTCTTCTTCTATTATATTTTTCTATTTTTATACTTTTCCTTTTCTTATTATATAGATTTATAGATCTCTCTATTTTTGTTTTTTTTTGAAAAAAATTTTAAGCTCATTATTATTATTATTTTTTTTATAACATGCTATATTGCCCATTTTATTGAGTTTATATATAAATACATATTACTTTGTCAAGTAAAAGTTATATTACAGATATTTTTTTCATGTATCTATTATATATAGTTATAATAAAATCAATTGTTACCTGGTTTAATGAATACTCATTACCATTGAAAATAGGACCCTACCTTTGAACTCTTGTAATATATTGTTCTCATTGAGGACTAATGTGCCTAGGTGCCATTAGCATATTTCTTATAGGTTTCATATATATATGTTGTAAATTTTATAAAGAATATTGGATATTAGTTCTAGAGGATATGTATCATTTTGTCAGAAACAAGTTCTCCATACACTTTTTTTTGAAAAGTTGTTTATATTTCTTTCTTTTTTTTCCTGACTGATATTCCTTGAAGTTTTTTTCAATAGTATAAGCAATTACATTTATAAGTCAAATGTTTTATATCCAGAATCTAATAATATTGCAAATTCTATTCTCTATTATTTTATTGATTTTGATATATTTAACAATGGTCTTTAGAACAGTTTTCCTAATACCATCTATTGTTATAGGTCACATGTGTGACACAATTTATGCTTAATATTCTGAATCCAAAAATTCAAAAGTTTGACATGAAAGATTGAGTGTCACAAGGTAAGAAACCATAGATAAGGCTTGAGTACTAATAGCGAAACTATATGTATTTGACAAAATATATAAAGTTTAGCAAAGTTTAGGATTAGAATAGCTGATTATAAAGTAAATAGTCCATTGTTAGTTCGAAAAATATAAATAGTTTACCAATATATACCAAGAAGGCAGAACTGAATATATTTGAAAACAGACATCATTTAAGAATAGAGATAAATGTTAGTGATATACCAAAAAAATAGAATGCAATAAAGAGACACTTACCTTCATTCAAGTCAATCATTATATTTCTGCCTTTTCTAAGTGTTCTTTATAGGAGTCATTTTCTTCTTTGTGTCATTTGTGAGTATTTGTGAGTCACCCAGATTATACGAGGTACTACAGATTAGCAACAGACTCATTGGGATAGCCCACAACATCAGGATAATCTTGTTTCATATATTGTTTAATACTATGTTTAATATGAGTCCTTATCTAATATTGTGATTAATGTTATTATCGATTATTGCTATTATTTTTTAATGAATAGTGTCTAGTATAATAAGTTTAATGTCAATATCATGAAAGAAGTATTTGAATAAGTAGATATTATCTTCTATATATAAATATATAAAGTAAAGTATACTTTTAATTAATATATATATAGTCTTCTGATGTAAAGCTTGTCTATTGTAGAAGCTCTTTATTTCAGAGTTTAAATACAAAACTTTTTTGTGAGTAATCCTATAAGTCTATAGTTATTTAAAATCTTGATTTAAAGAAATATATTTCTAAAAAGCTAGAATTAAAATATATAGCTATAATTTCTATAGTAGAAAGTAAAAATACTATTAATGAGTATGATATTGATTGGTTGATCTTAAGGACAATTATATTGTTATTGTTATAGTGTTTTATCAGTTTATCAGCTTTGAGGAAGGTATAAATAGCAAATGAGTTCTATTTATTCATTTTGTTTAAATAATTCAGATCCAATTATACATTGCTATGATACTGGTATTGCTGATAAGTCTTAATTTCTTAAATTTTTTTTATGTTATTTTTGATATAGACATTATATTATTCTATTAAGGATAATAAGTCAATTTTAATTGTGAGAAATCTTTTTGGTTCACTAATAACTATTGCTATTGTTATAGCCAAGATCTCAGCTCTATATTATAATATTTGTCCTTGTAGTTGTAGTTCTACTGTAGCTACACTTGTGTAGTTATTACTAATAATAATGACTATTCCATATATATTTGAGTTATTTTTAAGATTGAAAACTCCATCTATTTAAATGTAAAGATTGTTAATATCTTTAATTTTGTTAAATATATTGGTAAGGTCTTGTTTAATTGAGGAGCAGAAATTGATTATTTGAAAAATTCTTATAATGTGTATAAAATGTTATCAATTTCCAATTGGTTAAGAATTTAATTGGATTCTATAAAGACGTGTCAAATACTGTCAAGTAACATTTATATTCTTTTCTTTAAAGAAGAATCTGATGAATTATATAATTTTGTTGTGTTTAGGATTGAAACCTTGAAGACATTAACTTTAAATATTTCTATACAACAAATTTCTTCTCTATTGTCATTGATATTATCGATATAGCACTCTGAGTAATATTTACTGAAAAGTCATTAGTTATTATATAGTGTTTAATTTTATTTATATTATATATTTTACTGATATATTTGCTCAGAATTTGTTAATATCTAAGCTGTATAATATATCATAAATATTGGGCTTACCTTAAATTGGGTGGCTTAATTTGATAAGTGAATTCAGGAATGGAGTAATTAAAATAATATGAAAAGAGGTCATTATCTGTTATTGAAGGTAAGAAAATATGTTGACTCTTTTTTTTTAATTATTTTATTATACAATGTTTTAACCTGTTATCATTTCAGTGGCTTGGTCATATACAAGTTAATAATTTATTTGATTCAGAAAAGCCAGTGAGTTCTTAAAGCTGATCAGTAATTTGACTATCAATCTTGATCAATGAAGTCTTCAATGGAGTATAAATTGTAAGAATTGTTATTCTCTATAATAAATATATTAATGTTTATATTATATCTCTAAATGTTTTGTAAACAGTCCTATAAAATCTTTGCCTTGTCTTTAAAAATATATGGGTAGGTATTTAAGATGTCCCTTTTTTGCCATGTGAGCTATTAAAGCTCATAGATGCTATTGTATTGTCAACCTATCCAACTCACCTCTTAGAAATCAGATAGAGAAAGAGAACTAGTGCAAGGAAACACCAAGTTAGATTTTTAACATGATATGCAAAAGTTCTTGATTTGGACAATAATAAATGAAGAGGTTTATCACTGGTGATTTAGGCAGAAGAGGCAGGACAATAATTTCGGGTTAAGGGTAAT